ATTCAGCGACCACAAAACCAAGTAAAACTCCTCGTATGGTCAAATGAACATTTCGTCGACTTTTTTGTGGTCCTGTGTAGTCCTTACGGCCTTTCATTTCCTTATGAATTTGCAGCATAATATGCGTGGATATACTCTTATAAACTACTTATATAAATATGTAATGTATTTATGCACTATATCGAGTAAATAAGCATTGCATTATTGCAGGTATTGCCGGACCACGTGGACGACCTGGTAAGTCCGGTAAAGATGGAACTCCGGGAATTCCTGGCATAAATGCATGGAAGGTACAACTTTTAAATGGCAGCTTCTCCAATGATTTACTCATTCCACCATCGATTGCTGGTAAATATATAATAATATTATAACGAGCATTTATGAATATGTAGTGTGTTTATCTAATATATACATATGTATATACAATACATTTCTTCTTTTAAAATTATGTATGATAACGTAAAACAAAGCAGACATTCAATGTATGCTATTTTACCTATCGGTTTCAAGTAAATACACACAAATTGATTTATTATTAATTAGAAGCTCATTTACTTTCACTCCTTTCGATTTCCTTCGCTTGCGCATTTGGTTTGTAATCATGATACAAAATTTGAAATATTTATATCATGCTTGTAATATATCAAACCAATTAGAATTAAACTTTCTTTCAAATATGTAAATTCACCGTATGCTAAGTAACTCCCTTCCAATTTTCCTTCCTCCCATTTCAGATATTAATGCGCCAAACATCGAACGCTTTGTTATTGTTGAGGAGGGTAAGACGTTGAATTTGAGCTGTGCGGCCAGTGGTAATCCCATGCCGCACGTTGAGTGGCGACGCGATGACGGACGTACAATCAATATTAATGGCGTAGAAAGTAAGTACATTAATTTCAAATTTATTTATATGTATGTATGTATGTAGGACTCTGTATCATTGATTGTTTATTCTTGATTGCGCTGTAATTTCAATTAATATGTTATGTTTTATAATAAACTAGTAGTAATATTTCCGCTTTGCTGATTTCAGTGTCATCGGTTAGTGGACCTTATTTGAAATTCACAAATATTACTCGACATCAGATGGCTGCCTACACTTGCTTTGCGGATAATGGTTTGGTGCCAGTTGCAAATGCTACCTTTCTCGTTCATGTTTACTGTGAGTATATCTAAAATTCGACATTTCATTGATTCGGCTTATGCTTCTCTCTTAATCCGTAAGATGCCTTTTCGCAGCCCTTTAATAAACCTTTTTTTTGTAGATTATTTTACCCCTCATGTTGCCATTTTTTATTAACTTTTCCTCAAAAAGCCTCCATTGCTAGGACTTAATTGGTTTAAATTTTCTATGAGAAAATTGCTTGATTCAGCAAAAATTACACAGGAACACAAAAAAAAAATCGATGAAAGGTTCTTTTGATCAGAACACGAATTTGAAGTCCGTTTTGCACCACTACTTCTGAACTTTTTCTTACTTCTAAAATCCTTGTGGACTTTTATCACAGAAAAAATGTTATAAACACTGACGGATTTACTTCAATGTTGGTATGCAGGTGTTTTTGTTATCGCCGATTACGAATATGAAGTCAGCTTTTCAAAATCCAAAATGATGGATACAATAAGGCGGCCGAATTTGCAAAAAAAAAGTGAATTTATGCAAAACTTTGTACATAGGAAAATTGGATATCGGTGGTTTTGAATTTGAAGTTAATTTTCAAAATTCAAAATTCAATTTTTAAAAAGTGATTGAATTTATTTAAAACAGTTCTGGGGGGTTGTGAGGTAGCCGATTGCCTATATATGAATTAAGATTTTATAATTTCAAAATTTCGGATCCCAGACGGTGGCCAGATTAAAAGAAAAATAATTATTACAAAATTTGATTTCTGTATAGGTTTTTAAGGTGGTTGACTACCTACTGATCTATTGCCAGATTTATGAAATCGAGTGAAAGCTCCCGTACTAATTCTGGTTGCAAGCAGCCAGCTTTGTCATGTTACTCCGCCACTGCCATCGGTTCATTGATATAAATATACCATTGGTAATGTAATAAACAAAACCTTAAAAACAGAAGACCAATGGAGATCTCGAAGGCATTTGAAAGGGATATAGTATTTATGTATCCCGTTGCAAAGACCCCCGAAGTGTTAATACCCCATGTGATATTTATTTCAACTCATGAAAATCGAGTTTCATCTAGTATCGCCAGGCACTAACAGGTCTATGCGTAGGTTATGTTAGGTTATCGTGGTCGTCAGCAACTCCCAATTCCTCCTAAAACCGTTTTGAACTTCGCAGGAATTTTAGAATATCCCTGATTCCCACGCATCTAAGGTGCTCCAAGTTGTCGAGGACTTGCCTACCAAGACTGGAGACTCTTTGTCTAGATAGAGCAGAGCACTGG